CAGCCATTTTGTTCTGGCAGTTCATCGTGGGTGGGAGAACTGTGCCCCCAGGTGAGTGCTACATCCAGTTCTTCTCCAACCCAGCGGTGACATTTGGGACAGCCATAGCTGCTTTTTACCTACCTGTGGCCATCATGATCTACCTCTACTGGCGCATCTCCAAGGCCAGCCGCAGCCGCGTGAGGAAGAACAGCAGGAAGACTTCGGGTACCAGTGTGGGAGAAGGCCCCTACCACAGCCACGAGGAGGCATGTGAGAGCCAGAACAACTGCATCACAACAAGAGGAGCTCAGGAGGAGGCTGGAGATGAGAAGGAGAAAAGGCAGCAGCTGAACGGAAGCAGGCCCTGCAAGGAAGACCAGGTGGACTCCACATCAGACAGCATCCATGCTTCAACATCTAAGGACAGTGCGGCCCCTGTGGCGGCACAGAAAGGCTCAGAGGGAGCGAAAAAGACAAATCAGACACAGCCACCTTCTCCGGAGAACTCAGCCGCTGACAGGCAAAGTTTGGTCACAAGGACAATGTTTAAGGTAAATACATTATGTATTCACTAAAAAATAATCATCACAATTGGAAACAAATCATGCCACTTTATTTCATTAGGCAAGACTTTATGGGATTACAGTCTGTCCACTCAATTTGGTCCAGACTGAAATACATCAACTATTGGATGATAAAGTTTTATACAGACATGCCACATGACACTACATCCCAAAAGGATGTTAGTAAGTGGTGATCCCCTGACTGAGGATGACATTTGTGGTTTTGGGTGAAATGCCTCAACAACTATTGGATGGTTTGCCATTAAATTAGTTTCAGACATTAATGTTCTCCTCAGGATCAATTGTAATATCTTTTCTGATCCCATCAGGTCAAAAAGTTTAATTTGTTGTTTACTTTGGTTTATTTAAAGGTCCAGTGTGTAACATTTAGGAGGATCTATTGGCAGAAATTGAATATAATATTCATTAGGTATGTGTATAATAACCTGAAAATGAAAATCTTTGTGTTTTAGTTACCTTATAATGAGCTGTTTTGTTACCTTGTGGAGGGTGTCATGTTGAACCACCATATTTCTACAGTAGCCCAGAACACACAAACCAAACACTGGTACTAGATAGGGCTGTTCCATAGTTTCTCCCTAGGATGGGCTGACATTTGCCAGGTGGCCAGAAACACGACTCAAAATGAAAGCTAATGTTGCTTTATGTCTGTTAGATGTGTAAATAAGCAACAGTTTGCCATATAAACTTTTATGGGGTAATGTCAGAGTTGTGTTTACAGGTTACAATGAATGAAAATGTCCTCTCCTTCTCTTCTTACCCTTTCCAGGTAACGAAGCAGAGTGCTGTAGCAAAGTGGAAAAAGAAGGGCATTTCTTCCAGGGAGAAAAAGGTGACACGCACCATCATGGCCATCCTGGTTGCTTTTGTCGTGACATGGACGCCGTACAACGTGATGGTCCTGATCAACACTTTCTGTTCCATCTGCATTCCAAACTCCCTCTGGACCATCGGCTACTGGCTCTGCTACATCAACAGCACCATCAACCGGCCTGCTACGCCTCTTGCAACCCCACCGGTTCAAAAACACCTTCAAGCACCTGCTTTCTGTGCCAGTACCAAGAATATTACGGTCACATCACGATGAGGGCGAAAACTTGACTCATGCTTGGATGTCAAAATAATGTGATAAATGATGTAAACTGAGATGACACAAATATTGGAGTGAACATGTTGTTAAAATATAGACATACTTGTGTTATTATTGTGCACTTTTTCAGTGGTAGAACTTATTCCCACTGGAAATGAAACTGTGCTGGTAACATTATAAACTGTACATTTATTATTCTACCATGGATTGATTTTTTACAATATATGGCATTGTATTATAATTCTCAAGACACTACAGTCTGGTGAGAATGCAGTTTATTGTGAAAAAGTACCTTTGACTGGGCGTCAGTTGGGGTTTTAATTTGACAGTTTTTTTTCCTCCTACATGAGCTTGTGCAGTGTGGTCTTTGAACCTGTTTTTATCCAGATGGTATAATTGTGGTGAACGTGATGGTTTTGTGAGCAAAACAGTGATTTTAGAATAAAAGTATAAGTCTAGTATGAGAAGAAGATAATATACTATAGGAAAAGACACTGTATTATTGACAGCGTTGTGGCTGACTGTGAAACAGGAATAATCAGCAAAAGCTGACAAAATCTTCTCTTCAAATTGAGTAAAGAGTGAATGAAAGACCATTAACTGCTGTAACTGAACTTGTGTGTGTGTGTGTGAGTGAGAGAGAGAGAGAGGAGAGAGAGAGTGTGTGTGTGTGCATGTTTCCTCTCTGGTTAGATTTACTCATATTAAACGAATGACGTCTGTAATCCATGTTGTCGTGAAATGAGCCCAATGTGATATTTGTCCATATCTTCCCCTCTTTCTTCATATAATAATATGTTTTCTGTAAATAAAAGTGATGAAGACAGAACATTTAGTTTTCTTTGTCATAACATGTCTCAGATGTGCTCTGAATTAAACTGGAGGTAGGCTAGTGCAAAAAGAATAAGCCCACTGACCCTGATTTATTGGCTCCACCTTCACATCTGGTTTTAGCTTGGCATCACAACCTTTGCCCAGTTTCCTGCTGGGTTGCTGCCTGATGGGAGGAACTACACACACTGCAACCCAAAGAGAAAAAGTGCAATACCGCAGTAGTGTGTGCGGAGGAAACAGAGGAAACCCAGAGGAGAGCAGAGCTGCATTTCAGCTACTTTAAAAAATCTTAATATCACACTGCTGAACCAGAGACTGTTGAGAAAAACTGACATCTGTCGCAGCTAAGTGTGTCTCGTCTCTACAGGAGCAAAACAGGAGATTAAAAGAAACTATAGCTTCATTGTACCCAGTTAGAATGAAGCAAGCTACCATTATAATCTGTTAACATATTGCACATTTAATATTAGCCTAGAAGTCGTTTCCTTACCACAATAACTAATTAAAAGTTGTAACACCTCACTGACCACTAACAGCGACATTTGTATAACCCTCCCCATTTAACACCAGTGTCAGACATTCCTGCACTGACTAGAAATGGGCAACAGAGAAAGAGAGAGCGAGAGGACTGGATACAGTATCAACCCCCACTGCAGTGTCATAAACCTCTCCTGTCAGAGAAAGACCAGATGGAGTCAAACTGAAATCCTCCCACAGTCTTCACACTGAGGAAAGAAAGGACAGAGGTTTTCTGTCTCAACTGTGGGAAAACCTCTTTAGACAGCTGTGGAGCAGTTGTGCCCCCTAGTGGAACAAAGCCTCACTGCTGGAAAACCTGTCCAGGTCCAAGTCCAGTTTGTTAAACATTGTTAAACACTGTGAAAGAGAACATTTAAAAATGTGACCTCCTGTGTGTGGATACTGTGTGTTTTTACTGCAAGCAACACAAAAATGTAATGCTGTCTTTATTAAAACAAGTGTTATAATCACAAGTTACAATCACAGTTACAGGCTGAGTCAGTCTCTCACTGATCACCAAACATAACCTAAACTAAAACCTTAGCTTCACTGATGACCTCAACTTAAAAAACAGGTTTGTAAAGTTTCATGTCTGTCTTACAGCAACACCCAGGTGCCCATAGAACAGGTTTTACTGTAATCATTCCTCCTGTTCATACTGACCATTAAAAGATCCCTTCCTAATGCGATTTCAATGTCATGGGGGGCAAAATCGACTATCTTCATTCTGGGAAAAATGTGTATAAAGTTTATAAAGCTGATGTGAGGTTTCCTCAAGTAGAGTTCCTTCTTAGGTTACAATCTTTTTAGTACAAAATTCCCTCTTTGTTACTATCCTTCCACTGCAGCTCAGCAGGGAAACAAAAAGAGTAAAAACAAGGAAGCTGACAATTATTTTAAAGGACTAGTGTGTAGGATTAAGTGATATCTAGCACTGAAGTTGCAGACTGAAACTGACTGAACACCACTCGTGTCTGTATTTGACGACCTGGGATTGAGAACAGGCTGTGAAGTGTGGAGGAGAAACTATGTTGGCCACAACACTTGTGAAAATGCGAAAGGTTTTATCTGCAGCCAATGTTTGGTTTGTTAGTTCTGGGCTACTCCATGAAGACAAAGTAAATGAAACACCTATATATAACATTCCTATATCCAGAAGATTATACACTAATAAAAACATTCCTATGAATATTATATTCCATTTATATCAATAGATCCTCATAAATGTTTCACACTGAAGCTTTAAGAGAGACTTTAAAAACATAATATTTTACATATTTTTCACATATAAAACCATATTAAACTTAAAACCTTAACATAATGCATTTCAAATCTGAGAACTACACCTTTTATTTTGAGATATCACTATCAGTAATTGAGCCATTTTATTTGGCGCACCCCGGGCTTCTCGTCTTTCAGCCTGGCAAAAAAAAAGGTCAGCATGGGGCCACTACTGATGCTGGTGGGGTTTAATATAAACACGTAACCCTACCGGTTTGTTTGCTAAGTAACCCTCTGTTTGCATTGCACTCATGTCTCACTGTGTTATGAGCCAATGTTATCAAAGACAACAGAAAAACAAAAAATGGGCTCTGCAAGTCCAAACGCCCGAGGTCTTGAGTGATGAACGTTCTTCTTTTTAACATAAACAGGAGACCTTTTGGTACAAAAGACTGTATGTTGACATCCACCTAAATGGCACAAGTGAGTTACATTCCTACATCTCCAGGTTACATTTCCTTCTGTCAGAAAAAGCAGTGCTCACATCAGTGTTTACCCTGCACACACAGCCTCCAGTACTAATTATCTTATCTCCTTTACATTTAGTCAAAGTAACCCAAGAACTCCTGCTGTTGAGTGTAAACAGACGCCTCGCAGGAGGAAATATCAAATGTATGTGGGTAGGACATGGCTGACGTGCCACCTGCTCTGCCTGTCGGATCACCTGAGCAGGAATCTAATTCACTTTATTACTGGCTGCCTGTGGAGTCATGGCCGAGGAAAAGGACCAGACGGGATCCTCCTGGGACCACCTGCCGCTGCCCGATGAGTATCCTGAACCAATTAAGGAGAACAGAGTAGAGCTGAATGGAGAGGCAGAGGAGGGTGCTTCTGCTGACCTCATGAAGGAAAGCACCAAAGATCAGTCAGTAAAATGCAGCCCGAACCTGCTGCAGATGCTCAAGGCAGCAGAGAGCAGGCGGACACCTCAGGGTCAGGACAGAGATGGGACAGAGGCAGGAGATATGGTGGCTGAAGCTCTGAAGACTGATATGGTGAGCAAGAAGACTTTTACACTTCCTGACTTTGACTGTGCCTGTCCAGATCAAGCTGTAATACGTGCATCTGTAAGCGTACTGCACAGGGAGCGTGAATATGCATATACTCAGGTTGTAAATGATCATAGTAGCAATGTGCAGGCCTCTATGAATGTTTGACCAGTACTCCCACATACATATTACACTCATTTTGTCTCTTTGAAAAGACAGAGGAGACTTAAAGTGCAGCAATTTTACACATCAAAGTCTTTTACAAATCTTTGGGAGTATTGAAAAAAAAAGTTGTATGAAGCTGTCTGTGGCTCCAGAAGTCGAGTCAGCGTCTTTTATACGTTGATGTTATTGACCAGGAAGAAGAACGTGTGGAATAAAAAGGACAATATTTCTCGCTCTGCTTCATCTATTTTGATAGATGCCAACAATGTGTTGTGTGTCCAACAATGTCGCAATGCAATGTTAAACTGGTGTTGTACTCTTTTAAACAGACACTGCAGCGCTTATGTATATTTGGGGGAATTGTCCGAGACATCTTTCAAAAATAAGGGTCAAAATCAAAGCAGGAGAATCCAATAAATCCTGCCTTTTTGTTCCTAGTGTGGGTCAAGCCTCAAAAACACTTAGATTTCCCATAATGCAGCTGGACAGCAACATTTATTAAAACCTTCCAAAAAAATCCGAGATTACCCTGATGACATCATTATAACATCATCTTAACTCTGACTATTAAATCGGTGGAGTATCCCTTCAAGAGGCTTTCAATAACAGTGCAGAGCTGCTTTAGTCATTTAGTGAACAGAAAACAACGACAGTCTGCCGTCTGTCCCTGAATGCAACTTTAAAGCTCACTTAGCTGGTTCTTCTGTCACTACAGCTGCTCTCTTCTTTCTCTCTCTCACTAACAAATTCTGTTGTGATTGTGTGTTCATGAATGTGCATCTCTTAACCGTCTGTCTAATGTATACCCTAAGAGCAGAGTGCACTTTATATTCATCTGCAAGCCTCAAGTAATCTTTTCTTTTCATACTAACTCTCTTTCATCTGTAACCTGTTCTTCTATATTTTCCCAGAGTTCCCCCCTCTAAACCTTACAAAGACTCCATTTGTTTCCACTGTCTCCTCTCCACCTGTCACCTGGGTGAGGGTGTGGCATAAAGCGCCGCTCTGTGAACTTTCTGATTAGTTCACCAGCATCGGCTTGCAGCTCGGCAGAGTTACTGTGGTCAGTGTGAGAGCCAGCATGAAGAAAGTTTACAGTCTAGTGAACATAACTAAAGCGAAGGACCAGGAGGCAGTGCAGTCCATCTGCATCAAGGTATCACTGCTTTTGTTCTCCAAGTTATTCTCTTTATGGGAAAAGGTTTTCAGTTTTCTTTTGGAGGGCAGTGAGTCAGGGCTTCATGTTGAATTAGGTTGTTTCTTAACCACTACAACTGAGAACTGTCTTGAAAACTGAAAACGTTTAAAAAGCTAATTAGAAATTCTGATTTTTCAGGCTACAAAACAAAACTTAAATAGTTTCCCAAGGATGCATTTTTTGTATATACATTAAGACCACCTTAATTAAAATAATAATTGGCTTTCATTGTACTATAAGAGTAGCTGGCTTGAATTCAAACCTATTTTCTGAGCCCTGCGACTAAGGTTTCGTGATCATTAAGTCACACTGCTCCAAGCCACAGTTTATTTTGTGTTAACGATTAAGCAGCTGCTTGAGTAAGTGCCTGCTGCATTCAAAAGATTGTATCCAAGTGATTATTACTTAGAACAAAATAAGAGTTAAACATTTGTCTTGAAACACCAACAGAAAATTTTATAACAGAAATTATGTCATAAAAAAACACAAGTGGAACAATAAAGTGGATCTGCTTTAAATGTGTTAGGATGGTGATTGATGACAGATTTTCTTTCAACTTGGTGTTGACTGATTAACTCAACTTTATGGTCATCAGTGTTTGCTTGACAGGAGTAACTAAGGTCAAATTAAAGTACTTTTCTAGTGCATTGTGGATTTATTTGTTGCCTTTTTCGATAGTAGACAGTGTGCACTGATAGGAAATGAGGGGACAATGGGAAAGTCATATGATATATTAAAAAAATAATATAATCAGAGGAAAGCATAGTGCCAATAAATCCCCACAGAGATCCTCATTACAGTCGTTCATGATCATTTCAGGTTTAATCACTTTAAACGAGGATTTGGGGACTCTGATTAGCAACATTACATGAAAGACGCCTCTGTTAATCCTTATTGATAGTGATGCTGTTCCCTAATTCAGCTTTAATGAACGCTATTAGTCATAATAGTAGAAGACTTGTCAGATGAATATTGAGACTTTTATGATGACCTCATGGAAGACAGCCAAACATCTGATTCTGTACTGCGTGAGATTTTTAATTCACACCTCGAGGATAAAAGTCACTTTGTTATCATCACACACACACACACGTGTAAATGTGTGTTTTTCTTCTTCTTTCCATGTTAATTAGTCCTAACCTCATATTACTTCACATTACTTACTATTATATTAAAACTAATGAAGGACTTAATCCTATATTTCCCAGAATTCACTTTGGTAGCATCTTTCTTTTCAGTAACACGTTATAATAAGGGCACAAATCGTATACTTAAGCAATGGTTAATTAATGCATGACGTATGATGACTTAATGCATGTATTAATGCAGGATGTGTCATGGGTTTCTGTTGCTCAACACTAAGAAGAAATAATCACTTCAATATGACTTTTTGTGATTAGTTCACACTTAATACATTTATTCTTAGAGTTAATGTTGATGTGAATGTTAATTCACAGTAACTATATATTTTCTGTATAATTTCTCCTTCATAAAAGTTGTTTGCAGGATATTTTCTCAGTCTCTCTGATAATCTATAATAATATTCATATTTCTATGAGAATAGACCCCTTCATTAACATAGTGGGAGGGACATAAGTTGGTTCTTTTTTGTGTTTGTGTGAGCTTAAATATGTCTGATCATTCTCCTTTAATTTGCCCATTGTGTTGTAAATGTGTCAACAACACCACTGGGTTTTTTCTGATAGGAATATGAAATTATGCTTTTAATCAGAGAAGCTGAGAAAATTCATGGTCCTTGATCACAAAAAGTCTTATTGACGTCACCATTTGTTAGTGGTGAGCAACAGGAATCAATGATACATCCTGTATTAAAGATGCATGAAAACATCATGAGTCATGCATCAGTTAAGCATTACTAAAGTATGTTTTGTGCCCTTATTATAAAGTGTTACCTTCCTTTGGTATATGCCCACAGCTTTCAAACTCCACAACCAGTTTGTAATTAAAGCTTCATGTTAAAAAATTCACATGAAATCATCACGGTTATTTTCTCTTGACACAAAAAATGTTATACAACTGTTTCAATATGGTCATTGGTCAACAGTGATTAAACTGACCTTTACATGTAAAATTATGAGAGCTAATGCCTTAATTTGATCCAGCAGTGTGTTTATTTGTATAGTAGTATAATACACTTATATATATATATACGCAGTATATATATATATATATAGAGAGAGTTCCACATAATAATAATAATTATACTCATAATAATAACTTTATTTGTATAGTATAAGTGCTTTAGAGACACAGAAAACCAGCAGCAATAAAGAATAAAAGCAAAATGAGATATACAGATACAACCAAAAACAACAATCAGAGATACTATTAAAAAGAGATTAAAAACCCCTAATACACAGCAGTGTGGGCTGAAATAAAATAAAAATGAAAAATAATAATAAAAAAATACTTGGGAAATAAAAGCCTGTATATGTAAATCCCTTCTGAGTGCAGAGCCGCCAACTAAACTCGGCAATGATCCCATCAAACGTGGGGCCCTAAAGCCCCAAACACTCTATGCTTATCATTTGGAGGCGGGGGTCGGTGTGTGGGGGTGTGTCCGTGTTGGTGGGTGTGTACATGCGTTCGCCCACGTGGGCAACAAAAAAGAACAAAAGCAGAAAAATCCCCAATAATAAAAGCAGGGGATTGTAGTAGAAGGGAATAAGCCCTCAGTTAAGCTTGCAGGGAGTTTTTTGGAGTAGCTTGGGCTCAGGCAGCAGAGTAAGGCGAGCAGCCAGGGAGCGGACATGGCCAAGTGGGACTCCGGTGGCAGCAGCCCAGACTTCAGACAGCCACACTGGATGGTGAGACAGCAGCAGATACAGGGACGAATCAGGAGTGGAGATCTGTGATAGTGACGGGTTGTGAGCAGTTTTTTTATGTGCAGTTTTGGCTCCTATGACTACATGAAGATGATGAGACTTGTGTGACCTGCAGTGAAGCAACAACTCATGTACTTGGTACTTTTATCTGTCTGACTCTGTGTGTTTGTTTGTGTCTCTTTCTTTGGCTCCACAGCAGATACAGTTCACTGACCAGAAGCAAGAGTTCAACAAACGCCTCACCAAGACCGGTCGTCGCTCTCTGTCTCGTTCCATCTCCCAGTCGTCTACAGATAGCTACAGTTCAGGTATAAAAACATGAAAACACACACGCATGCCATACGCTCTTAAGTCTGATCACATGTCTGTGATATATAACATGAGCTGGTTCTGATCCCAGCAGCACAAGAACTACAGGCCCAGAGGATTAGCATTCGGCGCTTTCTCCTTCAGCTCAACCTTAATTAAAAGCAAAAGTCTTCTGAAAAATTAAGTCTCTTTAATTTGGTCCTAATCGGCTCTGTAAGCCTTTCTCAAACATGTCAATCACTGCCAGAGTTTATACAGACATCAAAGGCTCAGAGGAAAGACTCACCTAGCTGTAGTCTGATTCCTGAAATAATAATTAAGGTTGAAAAACCAGAGCAAATTCACAACTTTTAACAAATCATGTGTCTCCCTGTCACTCTGTTATACTTAAACTATGTTTGCTTTTGCACGTTACATCATATCAGCGGATCGTTTTCATACACAGTGCCTAATTTCTGTGTTGCAGTGTGCAGCGACAACTCCGAGGATGAGTCTTCTCCCAGAGACAACCTTCAGAAGAACTCCAAGGGCCTTTCTGACTTCTGCATCAAAAACATCAAACAGGCCGAGTTTGGACGCAGAGAAATAGAAATCGCACAGCAAGGTAAAGAGAAAGCGATAATAAGGAAATAAATATCATTTATAAAGCACACATCCAAGAAGAACACAAGAGGAAGAGATGAAATGAGAATATTAAGACATAAATGACTCATGATTGTCTGTGATGTTTAGAAATGCCAGCACTGATGGTTCTGAGGAAAAGAGCAGGTGGGGAGAAACCTCTGGCGGGAGCTAAAGTGTTGGGCTGCACTCACATCACTGCACAGACAGCCGTAAGTTCAACGCTCACACATACTGACAGAGTTTTACTAAGAATATAAAAGGTAATCCGTGTTTTTTAAGACATCACAAGTAGGCTACACACTCTGCCTTATCACACTCCTCTTCTGTAGGTTTTTATTTTGACTGACAAAGTCAAAGAGATTTCCTTTAAAAAGCTTCACAGGTTTTATTCAACTAATCATTATATGCAGAAACTCAAAAAAGACATTGATGTTAGTTGGACCTTTTGTGGAGACATCAGAGAAATGCATTTAGTTTGCTCTCTATGGAGTAAACTATCACAATTTCTATTCTATCTATCCTCACATCATGTTACTGTATAACAGAAAGACAAACTTTCCAGAGCTCAATGTCCATATGAAACAATAAATGTCTTACTGTATCTATCTATACCTCAACGTACAAACAGAAACGCTCTTAAATGTATAACCGTTAACTTTTTATTATTTATGTTGGGTTTTTTGTATTACCTTTAATCCGCCTGGTGTATCTCTGATTATAGACTCAAGCTGTAAACACAAGATGTTTGTACTTGTTGTAAACTTGTTTGTTTGGTTGTGGCCGATTATTACAAGTTCTCATCAGAGTGTCTTATTATCCACATTGCACGATTCTTCTCTCATCTGCATTAGAAATAACAGAGTTATAATAAGGTTTAAAAACACTGTCAGAGGGATAACGTGTTCTGTTTGTGGTCTCCCGCAGGTGCTGATTGAGACTCTGTCTGTGTTGGGGGCTCAGTGTCGCTGGACGGCCTGTAACATCTTCTCCACTCAGAATGCCGTGGCTGCTGCTCTGGCTGAACGAGGTACAACCGTCTCTACCTGACTCATCTGATTATTTGTGCTTCCTTGATTGGTGTTTTAATCATCACTTCACTCTGTATCTCAGGCACCTCTGTGTTTGCGTGGAGAGGAGAATCAGAGGACGACTTCTGGTGGTGTATTGACCAATGTGTCGGTGCTGAGATCTGGCAGCCCAACATGGTACTGTGATCAAACCCTCCATGATATGACATGAAACCAAAGACAGGACAGAAGTCTTTATTAAAGGTCCAGTGTGAAACATTTGGGAGGCTCTATTGGCAGAAATAGAAAACAATATTCATAGGTATGTTTTCATTAGTGTATAAACACCTGAATATAAGAAAAGATCATTATATTTTGTTACATTAGACTAAGATTTTTGTCTATAGACGCCACGGGAGCCTTCCTGGAGTCTGCCATGTGAACCGCCATGTTTCTACAGTAGCCCAGAAGGGACAAACTAAACACTAGCTCTATATAGGGAGGGAGGGTAGGGAGTTGCAATCTACGAACTACACCGCGTAGATACCACTTAAATGCCTACACCACGGACCTTTAAATTAAAGATTCACTAAGTTTACTTTGTGTTCTGGATGAATTGTGCTCTTAATGAGAATTTTACTTCTGTTTTTTCATTCTTGTCAGATTCTGGATGACGGTGGCGACCTGACCCACTGGTCTCACAAGAGCACCCGAGCCTGTTCAAGAAACTTAAAGGCATCGTGGAGGAAAGTGTTACAGGCATCTACTCGTTAGATTCCACAACAAAGCTTGAAATGCCAATTCCTACAAGCTGACAAAGTCTTTCTCCAGCTCACTTGTGTGTCGCCTGTGTTTCAGGTTGTACCAACTGTCAACCAGGCAGGCAAGCTGTGTGTCCGCCGGCATGAACGTTAACGACTCGGTGACAAAGCAGAAATTTGACAACCTTTACTGCTGCAAGGAGTCCATCAGTGGATGGGTAATGAACCATGTTGTGATCTTAACACTCGCGTAAAAATCCCCGGTACAGTGCAGACAACAAACCTGACTGTGTTGATTCTTTAGGTTGAACGCGAACCACCTCCAGCGGCCATGCTTCTCCGCGACGACCAGTGCGCTCGCCCTGGGTCCCGCTCGCGGATACGGGCAGCGCTAGCTCGCCAAAGCACTCTCCAGCTGCCCACTGTGCACAATACTATACCCTGACACGTCTCAGACAGCAGACAACCTCTTCTCCTTATCTGTATACAATTAGATAGTTGAAGAAAGGTAAATCATCAGCTAGATAGCATCAGACTGAACAGAACTCTGGGAAGATGCTGATGAATAAATACAGCTCCGCTCGGGAAGTGGAATCCCATTTTGTGCCTCCCAGGCTCGGGTATGAACGCCTGCGCCGCAGGCGCGTTCCACTTAACCCCCAGCCCCCGCGACTGTGACGTCGTCCCTCTTGTGCCACCCCGTGGCCAACGCTCCGCCCCCACCGAACACACTATTTCAAGACGGCTGACCCCGACGACAGACTCCTCTCCCTCGCTGTCCCCCCTCTCGTTCTTACTTGCGACCGTCTCCCCGGAGACTCGGCCTTCCCGCCGTCGACTCTCACAGCTGCGCCTGGCAGGGTGCTCCGGCCCGCAGCCTCCGACTCTGCTCCATCGCCCGCCACGCGGCCATGCACGAGGCCTCAACTGCCTGTACTAGACTAAATCCGACTGCCAGTCTGCTATCCCCGGAACGCGCCACATCTTCGTAACTGGTCCGGTACGTCGTGTAACATTTACGGGAGCGGGTCTGGATTGGCCGCGAACCTTGAGATAACTCCGCATATCTCAAAATCCTGTCTTTATATAGTGTATGATCACCTGAATAATAGCCTTCTGTGGCAGCTGCTATGTTCTTAGCAGTAGCCCCAGAACGGACAAACCAAAAACGCGCTCTAGGTGGGCGCGCTATTTGGGTGTTGTGCATTTCACAAGCCACCCGTACTTTGTCTCGCCTATCTCCTCCTTTGAAAAGAGGTGAAAGCGAGCAAGTCTGCAATCTGCAACTACCACT